TTCAAATAATTTCAAATATCCATTGCTCATATCACTGAAAAAAAATGAGTTTTATTCATGAATTATTATGTTCAATTAAAATTACTAATTGTGTTTCATCTCTAGCCTATCCCAACTTGTTTGGGACTGAAATGTTTTGTTGTTGTTGTTGTTGTTGTTGTTGTTAATCTTACATTTTTTTCTTTTATTCAGTAATACTTGCCACATTTTCACACTGGCGGTTATACCTTAATGGGTTTCTTTTCAAGTCTTTTTGAAATTCTCTGCACTTTGTCATTTTAATGGATATTTTGTTAATTAAAGAGTGATTATGAATTTTTCCCGTCCAACATATGGGTGAAACGAACGGTTTTTCAACCACAAGGCACCTAATGGCGAGGCAGGGAGTTTGGAGGTTGTGAATCTGACTGAGACTTATGGCCGGGCAGTGGCAACCTATATGAAGGCAGGGACCGTCTCGTACGTATACCCATGATTGTTTGGGCACCACCGGCTCCAGGTTGGATTAAAGTGAACACTGACAGTGCATTCGATAATCTCACGGGCTTGAGCAGTGCGGGCAGCCTACGAGATGAAACGGTCAATGGATCGAGGGCTTCCTCTTGAGTATTGGCTACTGCACCGTTACGGGTGCGGAACTCTGGAGGCTATTTCAGGGATTGCAGTTAGCTTGGGACATGGGATATCGTCGAGTTATTGCTGAGGTGGATAGCCAATGTGTGACGAAAATGGTACTAAGGTCGGAAGGATCCCTTGGAGCTCATGAAGCAATGGTTAAGGCCATTTGTAGTATGGTCCGACGAGAGTGGGATATTCGAGTCCATCACGTACACAGGGAAGCTAATTTTGTGGCTGACCATATGGCGAGTTTAGCGGCATCCTGCCCGTTTGGTTTGCAGCGGGTATCCTCTCCTCCTCCAGGTATGGGAGCGTGGCTCAAGCACGACATCATTGGAGTGTCGTACCCCCGTCGAGTCTCCTTCATTGTACCGAAAAAAAAAAGAGTAAGATACTAATTGCATACAATAATGTTAAATTTTTTATATATTACTAAATATTTGGTTATAAGTTTTTAATATATTACTAAATATTTAGTTATTATCACTTTGGTTATACGATTAAGGTTGATATTGATACTAATAAAAAAGACACATATATTACTAAGTAAATTTTATTATAAAACAAATAAATTATAAAATATAGTTCTATCGCTACTAATTTCCCTTACAAATTTCACTTTATATTTATATAGTTTTTTATTTTATTTATTCTATTTTATTATTTTTATATAGTTATAGACATATTTCGTACATAGTCGTTATTCGAGTAGAGATTTTTGTGAACATGACTGGATTAGACTTGTGAAACGTGATATCGACTAGTTTGTTTACTTAAATGAGTTGAGCTCAAAGAGCTAAACGAGATAATTATTAAACAAGTCGAGCTCATTCGCAAACATCTATTTTTTTTATATAATTTTAAATATAAAGTTGAACATATTCACATGAACATATACGCGAGCAGCTCATTTACATTGATATTTACCAAAATAAACAGAGTTCAGCCAAACCAACTCAGACTTTTACGGGTATAAATAAATGAGTTCATGCTAAAAAACAAAATGTTTAACTCTACTTCACTCGATCAACCCAGAGTTGTGGTTCGATTAGACTTGTTAAAACCTGTTATCGATTCATTTGTGCTAAACAAGAATAATTGTTAAACCAAAGTGGAGCTTGTTAGCAAATATCTCATTTTTTCTATATGTCTCAAATATGAAAGCGAGGCGAACATGTTCAAAATTAACCGAATTGTATCCACGCTCTTTTACTTGGAATTTATCAAATAAATAAAGCTAAGCCAAACCAACTAAATTATTTATTAACTAAATCATTTATTAAGTGAGTTCAAGCTTTATTAAAAAAAAAAAGAAATAAAAAATAATTTGTGACTAAGAATAAAACTAATAAAAGCGAGGCAAATGTAAAGAATAAAAATGGTATCCACGCTGGTTTATATATTGGAATTTATTAAATAAAAAATAATTCGTGACTAAGTTGCGTAGTTCAGGCGGTGTCAGTCATGGCCTCAGGTTGCATGGCCAATGGAGATAACCGCGGGTACCCGACATGACTAAGCATCATCACGATAAGTTTTATTATATTAAATAAATTTGTGCTTTTTATTTATTAATATATTATAATTTTATTTTGCAACTTTTTTAATATTGAAATTGTATTTATGAATAAAAAATTATCACAATTTTTTGTTAACATAATACAAATATTCATTTAGCTAATTTATTTATAAAAAAAAAATATGTGGTAAGTTATTGGAAGCACAAGAATTAACACAAGGAATTTATTTTCAATGACTTAAATCATAAGTTTAAATTTCTCTTAAACTTTAGTTAATATTTTAGTACTAAAATACATAATATTTTAGTAAATACTTGATACATGGTTCTAGTAAATGATATAAAATTTATATAAAATATTGTTGTATTGTTTATGTTTTATTAATTATATGGTCATAATAATTTAAAATAATTAAATATTTGCAAAACAATATATCTAATTAAATTACATTTTTTATATTAAAGAACTCATAATGAGAATAAATAGAAAATATTTTGTGGAGAAAAATTAGCGCGAACGATTAGAGACGAAACTTGATTTTCGTTTTAAAAGTAGAGTAAACTCTCCACTAAAGTATATACAAGGGCATGAGATAGCCTTATTATGTTAGTTTGTTGATCGTTAACTTCTCTTTTTGTCTTGTACCCAAAAAAAAAAAAAAAAACTTTTCTATTTGTCAATTCTAAATTTTATTAACAAATTTGTGTAATCTACATAATCTCCAAATCCATCAGCAGTTCATTGGATTAAGATTTCAGTTTCAGCTTTAATTTAATGTTCCTAAATCTTTAAATTAGAAGCATCTTAAGATTATAAACAATATGTTTCGTATTCAGAGTCATGTCATATGATTCTGTATTTTGCATTTCTATATTTTTATTATCTTCTTTATTGAATGGTAGCTAAATTACCCTTTAATACTCGATTTGGATTCGTGAATACTGATAAACGACTGCACTATTACTGTTGAAATGGGTTAGCTTCTTATAACTATTAATTTCTAATCCCTGCTGATGTTATTTTTGTGTGCATCATAGGCCAGCCGCCAGTCTTCAATTTTTGTTGTTGGGGATTTAGGGAAGGAGAATATTAAGTGCTGAATTTGCATTTTTTTTTTTTTTTTGGAAATTTACTCCTTTTATTAATCCTTTTATAATTAATTTTAATTATACAAAATCACAATCTTACCTTCATAGTTACGATTTTTTTAATTAAAATAAGTAGGACTTATCCGACGTTTTTCAGCGTTCCTGAATTAGGAAAAGGGAAATGCTACATTGACAACACAAATGAAAATATTTATTTGTTTATTTATTTATTTATTTTTTTTATAGATTTTTCTACTTGTGTTGTCATCCTAGTTATACACTAAGTTGACATAGTAGTATTTTTTTTAAGAAAATAATGATATAGCACAAAAGAGAGCATTTTAGGTAGACCGACAGAAATCAGCTTGGTTTATGAACCGGGTGTATGCTCGCAGGTTGTTAGGCGGCTCGATGTAATAGTCTGTCAATGTGCAAGCTCGGCCCAATAACAAATCGGCCAGGTGAATGGGTCAGGCAGATTGAATAGGTGGGCTGATGCTTAAATGGGCCTGATAGTTATCACATCGGCGGATAAAGGGGCAAGCGTGGAGAGAAAGCTAAGGATCTACATATAAATAGGTAGAGCATGTACGATGGTAGGGTCTAAGTTTTTACCTCACAAAAACCCTAATATACAAACTGAGCTTTCCTCGATACCCTACTAACTTGAGCGTCGGAGGTTTTACCGCCGAGAACACTTCCCGGCGTTTTTGCAAGTTTTGGAGAGCTCAAGCGGTTGGGTTCAAGGAGAGTCGGTCCAGTGTGCAATAGCGCATAAAATACAACTACCAAAGACAATTAATGGGATTAAATTTTAACATAATTTTCAGGAATCATGCTCATCCCATGACTGACGCCCTAATTAGTCCTATACATATGACCCGAGGCATTAGACATTTACATAACCGGTAGGTCCATAAAACTAAAAGGGGAGGGTCGATGTAGTTTAGCTCGACCCAAAATGAGATAAGTGTATTTTAGGGTATTCGTGGATATGCACTTGCCTTACTCAACTAGAAAAGAAGAAAAAGTTGTTTCTTTCTCACACCAAATCCTCGACAATTGTGTATCTTCAACACAACTAAGACAGAAAACTAAAACATCACCATATACCACAAACAAACCACGTCATTTACACATTCGTCCATTGCCAAAAGAAGAAAAAACGATGCCAAATTAGTCAATAGTGAAGACGAATCTAGATTATCTAGATTATTTTGATTCTCTTCATAATGAAATTCTTATAAAATATATTTTCAATGCATAGTACAACACCGTATAATGCAAATTAGTAAAATCTCTTGATTATAGAAGGAATTTAGTTTTTAGCAATTTTAAATCAAAGTTATTTAATTATTATAAAAAAATTAAATACTAAAATAATATTCGTGTATATTTTGTAAAATATTTATACACAATATTTTATTTTGGCTTTATTTACGTAATTTAATTTTACTACACTCATAAATAATTTTAACATATATTAATTATTTTTTATTATATAAAATCAAAAGAAGAAGACTACTTCTATAACTTTTATATAAAAAAAAAACCACAATTCGTTATATGACAATAAATTTCATAATAAAATAATTTATTAAGTATTATATGGTGAATAAGAATATGTAAAACTGTTATTTTTCTTATATCAAAGAAAAATATATATACTAAAATCAAATTTTTTCTATTAGTATACATGTTTTATCGAAATAATATATTAATTAATTTATAGACTACAGCTAATATGCTCAAGTTTAACGTTTATGATTAAAAAAACAACACTTAGTAAAAGAGGTAGAAAGTAGATGATCTAATTCTATTATTTTTCAGGAATAAACGCACCAACCATATGGAAATGACTTATTTAACATTTATGACTCTTGAATCGTACAATTGCGTACTAGTAAATTAACCAAACAGACTTAGACTTTAATGACATGATTGGTATAATGGTATGGAATTTCGTAGGAATTGAATGATTATGGGAATGAAATGAAACAAGTTTTGTTATTGATGCGTTTGGTATGAATAAGGAATAATACCTGAATAAAATGACATTATCATTTTTTATTATAAAAATAAATAAAGATTTTTTTAAAAATAATATGTTTTTAATAAATTATATATAAATGCTTTTTTAATAATATATAAAAATAAAAATATATATTTTTAATAATTTATAAAAATAAAATAATATATTTTTCAATAACATAAAAAATAATAAAAATAATATATTCTTAAAATTAATATATTTTTCATATATAAAAAATAATATATTTTAATAATATAAAAATATAAAGTAGTATATTTTTATAATATTTATTTTTCTTTTTTAATTAAAAAATAAATAAAAGTAAGTTTTCAATTTTTTTATTTAAATTTTATAATTTAAAATAATATATTTTTAATAATATATAAAAATAAAAAGTAATATATTTTTAATAATATTTATTTTTAATATTTTTGAATAATATATTTTCAATAATATATTTTTAATATATACAAAATAATATATTTTTAATAATATATAAAAATAAAATAATATATTTTTAAATTATATATAAATGCCTTTTTTTGTTTTATTTTTATGTAAGTATTTAATATATCTAGTTAAAAAATAAATAAAAGTATGTTTTCAAATTTTTTATTTGAATTTTATTTTTTAAAATAATTTTATTTAATATAATTTAATCATGCCATAAGGAGTTTAAATGAGTTGAGTCAATACATTTATTAAACGAGCTCAACACAGCTCAACTAGGCTCGACTAGATTGACTTATTATTGGTTATTTAAACCGTATTTTCTTCGTGACTAAGAATAAAAAGGAGTTTTTTTAATGCAAGGCCTGAAAGATGGGAATCTATCAATTCGGGGCCTGAAAGATTTTTTTTTCTCAAAAACACCAAATTTGTTTTTTTCTTAATTATTATACAAATGTTTACTTATTATTTTATGTGAGTAAATAATTTTTTTTAAAAAAAAAATTGGTATTTTAAAACTTTAAATTAACTCTCAATTTAATAGTTTTATAAATGTTGCTAATTGTAGGATATAATTTGATAGATTTATAAAATTTAGGTCCGAATTGAGAAAAAAAAAAAAAAAAAAAAAATCATTCAAGTCCGAATTAATAGTTAGCCTTATTGAAAAAACTGTGAATAAAAAATTTGGCGTTCGCCTCCTTCAGATGATCAGCTCATACAGATAAGGAAAAGCAGAAAAACAAATGGAGCAACCTTTTCTATCATCAGGTAAATTTTCATGTGGATACTAATATTCTCTTGCTTTCCCCCCAATAATCTCAACTGTTTAGGGTTTTATTTTGATCAGGGAAAAGCGACGGCGAGCGGTGGAGCTCATACGAGCGCGTGGGAAGGGCGGGCTCGGCGATCCCGACGGCTTCGTTGACCGGAAATGAAGTCACCGTCGATGAAATTCGCTCGGCGGCTGCTTATTCCGGTCCTTATCCTCCCTCTCTCCATGCCCCTCTGCTGGTTTCACCTGGGCCTTCTCCTCATAATGGTAATTTTTCGGTTTCATTGACTTTTTTGTTTGTCGATCGAAGCTATATCATGATGTAGGTGTTGTTTACAGCTGAAATTTAGTTTTGTTATGCACATGTGCTATTGAATTTTGAATTGATAGAAGGGTGTGAAGTTAGTTTAAAAATCATCTCAATCGGGTTCAGTGGCCTAGTTTAAGTCTGAACTATTACGGTGGAAGATGGTTTAGCTGCTTATTTTTCATTTACAATTCCTGTTTTGATGTAATTTGGGGATCCATTTTATGTGCGTTTTAACTGGAAATGCTGCTTTATAGTTTAAACGTTCTCTCGTAAACTTGTTGCAGAGCTTGTGTTCGGTTATCCACAGTTACAGGGCCCGAATTACGGACATTTTGGCGACCCTGCTGCTAATGATCATAGGTCAGTCTTCATTTTAAAGCTTTAGCAAATAGATATCTTTTCCATTTTTTTTTTTTTAATTTTAATGTACAACATTCATTTTGGAACTTGAAAACTCATTTTAATTGGGATGTGGGAACAATATTGATCCTCCTTTTTAAAAAAAGAAAAAAAAAAAGAAGATAAGCACATACATATTTTTCAAAATGGTACTGATGGGGTATCTCTTATCTTTACATTATACGATTAATTAGTTCACTAATTTTATTGAAAACGGGTCACATTAGACAGGCATAAAGTGAAATCTTTTGTTGTATTTATTATTATGAACACATCACTCTCTTACAGTTACTTTTTTTTTTTCTTTTTTTCCTGGCACTAAAATTTTCGGATATATATACAGACAAGTATTGGATGAGGTAGAAATTCGAGAGCTACTCATAGACCATGTGGGTCATCGATGCTGTTGGGGTAGTCGTCCGGCTCGAACATGGAATATTCATGCAGTGGAAAATTGCAATGTCTATGTTGGAACCCTCGAGACTTTTGTTGAAGAGAGAGAAACAATAACTGAAACCGAACCATACCTTTCCGGCGAAGTAGATGGGACAGAAAAAGGTCCACAGCTTGGGACATGGGAAATGGATATGAGGACCGAGTTTCCTGTGCTATTTACACCTCATAAAGAATCTCGGGTCGTGGTTCCTCATTCGGAAGCTATTGATAAATGCTCATGTACATTCATTTTCTTCTTTTTTTTTTCCATAATGGGTTCCGTATTTCTGGTTTATATCATATTATAAACCCTTAAAAAGTGTTGCGTAATTCTTTTCGAATTTTTTTGGCCATTTTTTGTGTAGGTTGTGGGGGGAGAGGAAAAATCGTCTGTCCTACTTGTAATGAAGATCAAGAACCTGGTTTCTACAAAGCGAATCAGATGTCTCAGTGTTCTGTTTGTTACGGAAGAGGTTTGATTGCGCATCAAGATGGATCAGATACAATGTGAGCATCTAATTTGAATCACTTATGTATTTTCCTTTTTGAATACTTGTTCTGTTTTGTGGGTCTTGTCACTATGATTCTCCCTGTAGAAGTTTTTAACTCGTAAGGAGGGACAAGTTTATTTGCGAGGTTAAATTCAAAAAGTGGATGGAAAAAAGAAGACGAAAAAATTGATTGCATGTCCATAGTTCATTGTGCCTAAAATGATTTTGCAGATGTAAGACATGCAAGGGTAAGGGGGTCGTTCCTTGCGCCACATGCGGATCTCAAGGAGTTGTCAAATGCAAGACATGTATCGGTAGTGGCTCGATTCTGAAACGCCAGGTGGCTCTTGTTAAATGGTATGTATTTGGTTCGGTCACATAAATCAATTTCCTTCTTTTTTTTTTTCGTGGAATATATATGTCAAATGCGGCAAGTTTTTTTAAAAACTGAATGGGGAAAAAGAACCACTTACATATATTGATAAATAATATGTCATACATCATTTTGTTGGCAAAAATGCATTTTTAGTCATATTGGTTTAACGCCATAGCAATTTTAGTTCAAACTTTTCGCCTTTTGGTTATCTGATCAATTTAAGTCTTCAAAGGACTAAAATTACAACAAATTTTTAAATTACAGTATTGAAATTGCAACAAAAAATTTTAAATTATAGGAATTAAATTGCCGTAAAAAATTTATAAATTTTGGGAATTTGTTGCAATTATAGTCCTCAAACTGAAAAAAAGCGAAATGTTAGAATCTTTGGACTAAAATTGCTACGGCTTATACGAGTAGGACTAAAAATGCAATTTCACCTCATGTATGGATGTTTCCAACAGGAGAACCTTTACAACAAGGAAAGTAAGCGCAACAAGTGGAGCTGCATCTGTCCCGGATGAAGTCTTTCACAGGGCGAAAGGGGTTCAGCTGTGCAATACTCAGGCTCACCAGTGCACGCCGGCCTTTTTCGCCGACTCGTATTTTCTGAACAAGTTCTCTTCGGAAGTGATTGCCGAGAGGGCCCCGGTACCTTCATCTGCCCGAGTCATTTGCGAGAGGCACGTCATCTCAGTTATTCCGGTCGCGCGAGTTACGATGACTCGTCAACGTCGTTCGTTCAGTTTCTACATCATTGGAACTGGAAAAGAGGTTTACATGAAAGACTCGTACCCTTCAAGGTTTTGCTGGGGGCTCTGTCCTTGTTTGGATTGGTTGAGCGTGTAACTGGTTTTTTCTCTTATGGTTTTCGTTACTTGTTAATCGATACAATTTGACATTTGGCGAAAGAAAGAATAAGAAAAGGTTTCATCTTGATAAACTTTACAGGGTTTCATATTGTTCATGTGATCTGTTGTTCTCTGTTGTGTATATGAGCTGTAATACCTATATGTTTGTACTTGGGACTTCCCAATGCACATTTATTCATATAATATGAGTTACTGGATCATCTTTTAGTTCGATAGATCTCACTGGTGCATCTTATAAGGTGCAAGCATAGTGCTGTTAAATTAAACGAGTCTGGCACGCTCGGCTCGAGCTCGGCTTGTTAAGGCTCGCGGCTCGAGTTTGAAGCCTTAACGAGCCGAGTTCGAGTTAATTTAAAGCTCGTTTGGTTAACGAGCCGAGCTCGGCTCGGCTCGATAAGGCTCGGAATGTGAAATTTATGTAATTTTTTATAGTTCGACTCGTTGAAACTCGAGATCGACTCGTTAAGGCTCGAGTTCGAGGCCTTAACTAGTCGAGCTCGAGCTCGATTTTTGGCTCGTTTACTTAACGAGCCGAGCTCGGCTCGGCTCATTAAGAGCTCGAGCTCGGCTCGGCTCGGCTTGTTTACAGCCCTATGCAAGCACAACGGTCGATAAGCAGAAAATACTGATTTTCATCAAAGCATGATAAATTATAATGAATGTTCGCCTATATTTTTAAAGGTCAACCGCAAGTGTACGGCTTCGCTCGTACTATGTGGCAAGCAAGGTCGTATCCCAAGAGACCAAATAATAAATATATCAAGTATTAGATTGACAATGTCAACTTTATTTAGACGATCGTAAAATGGATAGATTAAAACTAAAAAATCAAAAGAAAATAAATGGAGAACTATGAATAAACTAAAGAACACGTAGGACAAATATATGAGAATGAGAGATTCTAAGACTATGGGTTCAATTAACAGTTAAGATTCTTCAGAAATATTACAACTAAATGTTTTCTTTATCTACCCTATAAGACCATCACAAATTTAGCTTATCGTCCCTCTCGAGATCGATAAAACCGTAGATTAAATCACATATATTAGCGTCACCACTCAACACATGCAATTCAACTCCAAGTAGATTAAAAGATCTAATTTACTCACAATGACCTACTAACCTTTCGATTCAATCAAGTAAATTGTGTCAAATATTACAGATTTAATATTGAACTCATCTCTCAAATTATGAACAATATTGTCAAACATGTAAAAGCATTGGCCAAGTGCTAAACATGAAGTAAAAGCAAAATATTTGAATAGGGTTCAAAAGAAAAACAATCAATTATAAATAAATCATCCAAAATCCCAACATATTAATCTACTTCCAACTCTTAGAATCAAATAATCTACCCACTCATGTTCGAATCCAAATACATAGGCTTATTAGAAATCGACATGATCAATAAAAGTTCAAAACGAAAGAAGAAAGAAAAACTAGGAATCTCGTCGATTTTTCAATCTTCTTGATCTCTTTGTAGTTATTCTTCTTTTTGCTTCACAATTGCTTCTCTTGTGTGTTCTAGGGCTCCTCTCCTTGCGTATTTACTTTCTACCCTTCAAAATAAGGTAAATATGTCTTTTTATATGTCCAAAAGTCTTCTCCTTATCCAAAAAGGAAAGAAATAAAAATCAGCCTAAGGTACGAGTATCGACCCCCACAGTCGAGCCATCCGAGTCATGAGGTGAACCCGGATCGAAGCACACTAGGTATCGACCTCTTACCTCAAATCGCACCTTGTGTCATTATAAATCGGGGTCGACCAACATAAACTAAACCGTTGGACAATGTCCGGCTTTACACGTCATCCGAGATAACCAAGTATCCTTATATATAGAAATCATTAGTTTTGGGAAGTAACATTTATTGTCCAACAACCTTAATACTTTTACTGTTCATCTTCTCCTCCAACCTCCCAATACTAACTTAAGCTTCGGTGAATGATTGTTAATTTAAAAACAAAAAATTAAAGTGTTAGTAATATCTACAAGGGCCAACATCTTGCCATTAATACAAGAATTTAGGACATGCTTGATTACCAAATATTTTACTCACATTTATTTCATACTCAAAATTTAACTCAACTTTAACGCAATCTCATTATCTTTGATATTATTCCTGTAATTAAATAATACAAATCAATCATTATTACATATCGCATCAAATTTAATTCATTATTCATCCAATCACATAATTTAACTACCTATCATTTCTAATTATTTCCGATCATTTATCTCATACTTTTACATCAAAACAATTTTAATCATTTTATTTTAATTACTATTTTAATACATTCTTAAAATCCAACTGACAACTAATTATACCATATTTTTCAAAACTAACTCTAGTTAACTAAAATAACTAATTTTGAATAGATTATTTGGTAAACAAGCATGCCTTATCATTTTTGTTTGTGCAGCTAAAATTTAACTTATTAAAATAGAAAATGAAACAAAAACTTTTCATAAAAGTATTACTCACTCATTATTTTACTTTAAAAATAAAACAATAAAATATAAGTATGATATTTAATGGAAGTATATATTTATAGTTTACAGTATAAATTATAAATTATTATTTATTTATTTTTTAAATGGGAAATTACACCCCATTTGGTCACAAATACTTAGGTGCCTGGCACACTTAGTTAGCAAGGTGTGCCAGAGACGCTTTAAAATGAACATGTTATGTTACAAAATGTAAATGTGCAAATATGATTTACACATATTAATTTTGTAACATAATATGTTCATTTTAAAGTGTCCTGGCACACCTTGTTAGGTGCGCCATGGCACACAGTAGTAGCACTGTCATTTGCTTACCTTTTTAGGTTCTTAAGAACTATTCTCAATCTTTATTGACTATATTAAAAGAATATATCAGCTGGTCCAGTAGTATCCTACTGCCCCGATCACAGCTCTTTGATCGAAGACTAATTTGGTCGTCTATTGAAGTACTTTAAAAATAATTTTGTGATTTTTATTTATTAATTTATTGTAATTTTATTTTATAATTATTTTAATAATAAAAAAGTGCTATATGAATAAAACTTTCCTAACTTTTTTATTTTTAATATAATACAAATCTTTATTAAATAAATAAATTTATTTATAGTAGAAAAAACAACGTGGTAAATTGTTGTACGAACAATCATTAAAAAAGAGAATTTAATTTCAATGACTTACATTGTAAATTGAGATGACTCTTAAATCTTAGTTAATGTTTTAGAAAATCCATAATATTTAAGTAAATACATGATAAATGTTTTAGTAAATAGTATAATCTTTATATAAAATATTATTGTACTATTTGTACTTTAATAATTATATAATGATAATAATTTAAATAATTAAATATGTGAGAATCTATGTAATTAAATTACATTGTGATATTAAAATAAATCAAAATAATGAGAATAAAAAGATAATATTTTGTGGATTAAAATATAGTATTGTACACAGAAAATTGATTTTTGTTTAACTCTATTATAGAGTATAGATAAAGAATTGAGATAGGTTTCGTATCTCATAATTGTTTTTAATTGATGTAAAAATGGAACTATTATGATGAGTTTTGTTTAGGATTCGCGACTGCTTAATTACTTTCTCTGCAATAATGGAATACCGGAATCTAAGTTAATTTGTTGATTGATATTTTTTTTTATCAATTCTAATTCTTATTAAGTAATTTTTTTAGAGTAAAATAAATCCACTAATTCCAATATAATGAACATAATCTCCAAATCCATTACCAGTTTCAAATTTCAATCTTCAGTCTTAGGAAAATCCATAAATTTAATGTACCCTGAATTTTCTAACTTAAAAGCATTTTAAGATTATAAACAATATGTTTCCTATTCAGGTTCAAGTGATATGATTTGTATTTTTGCATTTATGCTAGTATGTAGTTCATGCGATGCACGAGACAGAGATGTTATTCATAGGGCACTAGTACAATAACCCGTGTACTACACAAGTGTTGAATTAAGAAGCATATTATAAAAATATTGAATAATTGTATTTTAAAAAAAAAATCTCTAAAACTAAAATAATTTAATTTTATGTAAATATTACTTTGGGTTTAATTAAATTGTCAAACTATATTTTTCTAATCATAATTATTAAACACTCATGTATTTTTTCACTTATATCACAAAAAAATATCAATATTATTATTATTACATGAGTACAAAAACATATATCTTAAATAAATAGAAATAATATAGTGATATGTATATTCATAAGTGTAGAATATGTTTGTTGAATTTTAAGTAAAATAGATTAGTTTTTTACTTAATTAGTTGCCTAATAGATCAAGTGTTGTATCAATCATGCTTCACATTTTTTAATCTTTTTACGTAATTTTATAATAAAAATAAATAATTATTTATTTTTATTAGATTGACAATATACCAATTAGTTTTGAAACAAATATCATTTCAAAATAATGATATTGTATTATTTCATATTTGAAATGAGTAATATATGAACATTGGAGAGAAAAAATTTGAGAAATAAATTAATATAATTGATTTAGTGAAGATAAGTAACATGAACGAAAATGAATAAAAAAAAGTATTGAGGTAATCGTCGAAGAAAAATTGATTAATATACATATATACATAAAATGAAGGGGGATCAGATTTCACATATAATACCAAAAAAATTGAGCAATCAACTCTTTATAAACAACACATGCAATGGAATGGTTCAATTTGCATATATATCATATATCACGTGAGCAATAAATATATCATGTGTGCAATGGAATGATTCATTTTGCATATGGTATTAAGTATTTTGTTTTAAATAATTAGGGAATGTAATTATAGTATGTCCGAACCTATTTATTTTGTAATATAATTATATTAATATTTATCCGAACCAAAAGCCGAAGCATGTAATGTTGCCAAGTAAGCTCCCAAAGCGTGCCAGTCAGTCATTTAGGCTCAGCACGTTTTGAAATTATATTAAG